CTAAATGAAAATGACTGGAAAAGAACATCTCAAGATAAATTGCTATTAAGATGTTAAAACAAGAGAAGAAAGGAGCAATATTAAAAAGCAAGAGGGAAATCCTAACTTACTTGCAACAGCAAAACTATCAGAATAGCATCAAACTTCTCAGCAGACAGACCCAATGCCAGGAAAGCAGGGAAGGAAGTATTTCAAGTCCTGAAACATGAAACTTCCAACCAAAATTATTATATACAGTAAAATTACTTCTTAACTTAAATAAGAAATAAAGACACCCAAAGATAAGTACAAACTAAAGCATTTCATAGCCACTTAGCCAGAATTATGGAAGATATGTATAAGTATTCTACATACAGAGGAGGAAGATAGTTACAACATGATAGAATAAGAAAGAGAAAATTCCATGGGAAGAACAGATAAATAAATTAAAACTAAGAAAGAGTCAAACATACCCAGTTCAACAAATCGGAAATCCCCAATGCTCCATGAAAAAAGTAAACAGTTTTCAACTTGAAAAACAATAAACAACACTATAGGAAATAGTAGTATGTCTCAAGAATAATCCTGAGTTTTAATGGTCTCAACTCTCTCTAATTAAAAGATACAGAGCAGATGATTGAATCAGAACACAAGATCCAACCATTTGCTGGCTTTGAGAAACATATTTCACTGGTAAACACACAGAAAAGTTGAAAATCAATGAATGGAGGACGATAAAGCCTGCATCAAGTAGATGCAGAAAACAGGCTGAATTAGCCAGTCTTACAGCCGACAAAGTAGATTTCAAACCAAAATTAGCAAGAACAGATAAAGGAGGTCACTACATGACATAAAAGAAAATATCCATTAAGAAGGTGAGAAAATTTAAAGATATGGTGTTCAGTGTTGAGGCACCTAATTTCATAAAAGACACTTAAAAATCAGAAAGGGCCACATACAATAATACTGCATTGATTCAATTCCCTACTCTCATCAATAGATCAAACAGTCAGCTAGAAAAATCTATGAAGAAAGCTCATTGTTCAACTGTACCATAAATCAAACAGATCAAAAGGACTGATTGAACAGACATCTGCAGAACACTCTACCTATTATCTGTGAATATGCACTGTTGTGAGAGCCCATGGAACTTTCTCAAAAACAGACCATATCTTGTGACATAAAGCAAGACTTAAAGAAATACATTTCTTAAATTTTATAAGCTCACAGTAGAATAAAACTAAAAATCAATAGCAAGTAAAGCTACACGTATGTGTGGGCAATAAATAATACTCTCTTGAATGATCAATGTGTCACTGAAAAAGTCAGGAAGGAAATTAAAAAATTCCTAGAGTCAATAAAAATAAAACCATGATTTATTGTAACTTTCAAGACACAGCAAAGTTAGTTCTAAGGGACATGAATTAGTATGATGTTCTACACTTAAAAATACATAACTTAATGGTTTACCTCTTTAAAAAAAAAGAAGCCAAACCCAAAAGTAGTAGATGAAAATAAATTATAAGTGTAGAGCTGAAATCAATAAAATGAAGATTAAAGGACAGTTAAAAAAATCAAAGGACTTTTACTTTGAAAAGATAAATAAGTTCAATAAAGCCTTAGTGAAACCTACTGACAGAAATAGAAGATCAAAATTAATAAAAGTGGAGATGAAAGGGAAAAGATTACAACAGATTCTAATGAAATCTGATCATTAGGAAATACTTTGAAAATATATACTCCAAAAGTCTGGAAAACCTAGAAGAAATAGGTCAATCCTGAGAAATGTATGACCTACCAATGTTAAATCAAGAGAATGTAAACATATAAGCAACTTAAACAGATCCATGACAACCAATAAAATTGAGCAGCAACAAAAAATGTCTCCCAACTAAAAGAAGCCAAAAGCAGACTAATTCACTGCCAAATTTTACCAGACCTTTAAAGAACTGACTCCAATGCACCTCAAATTATTCCATTCCACATAAAGAAAAGGAACCCACGTGAACTAGTTCTATGAGCCAGGGTTACCTTAACAGTGTATAAGGAACCAACAAAACATTTGCCTGGATACAGGCCCATTTCTCTGAGGTGATTCCAAAAATTATCAATAAAATACCTGTAAATCCAATCAAAAAAGATGCTGGAAAGTTTGGGCATCATAATGACGTTGTTTCATTCCAAAGATGCCAGGACAGTTAGCGAGACAGATCAGTAAACAAATGTAAAAGACACAGATGGACTAGGGACAGAAATCACCTATCATTTCAACAGATGCAGACCTTTGACAAAGTTCAGCGTGCTCTCATGATAACAGCTCTGAAGAAACCAGAAACAGAAGAAATATACTTCAGCAAAATAATGAATGTTCAAAATAATGAATACACACACACACACACACACACACACACACACACACACACACACACACACTGT